ATCTCTCTCGAATTAGATAGTAAAATGGTTGCAATCATGCATAATGCCAGTACTTGTACAACACTTAAATAAAACATTAAGTACTTACACATATGTTTTCAATGTTTTCACTCTATTATTACAGATGCTTAAAACGAAAGTGTACTACGTACGTTACTAGAAAGTAATCTTTAGAACTGTTGTTGAGCAAACAGCTATGTAACTATTTTAGAATACAACGCATTAGTTGTTATATACTTTGTAGGTACATTTGTGGAAATCTTAACTGCAAATTATTTTTGGAATAAAACAGTTACTTCAAACATAATTAATTTAATACATATCGACTTCATAATATGGGTATTTATTAAAAGTATTTTCAAATTTGGAACAATTACGAATTCATCAGTATTTTTAAAATTAAAACACATTGTTAGTTATTTTCACGTGATATATTTTTTACTTACCTGTATTTATATATTTATCTCATTAGGTTTAAACTTAAGTAAAAAAGCTTAAGGATTTTTAGATATTTCGTGTCAAAAGAAACAATGGAACTTTACCGATGGACACTGAAAGAAAATATTTTTTAAAATTACTTATATTAGCTTGATCTAGAATCGAAACGAACATTAACGATCAGCAAAATATGACAAATATTTATTTATAACTCATAGCAAGAATACTGACACACACGAGCCACAGGGATACATTTAAAGGTGAATGTGAATTTAAAAATATAGGTCATATGGAGTGCATGACCTATATTTTTAAATTCACATTGTCGTCTCCAATTTCATCTTTTGGTAATTTAGCTAAATCACTGATAGACCTCATTTCTTCTGTTTTCTCTTAGATATATTCTGGACCCTTATTAAATATGTATGAGAATTGCGGCAGCGTCTGAGAAAATTCGAATATGTGACACCATACGGCAGCAATAAGACTGACCCAGACTGACCCTTGTCAGCAAATGGACTGCTTTGAAATATAGAGGGCGCTGTACTCATTTTTCGCTAACGCCAGTACGAAAACCGACATAAATCGGTGGACCTCAATACATCTCTTGAGGTGGTGAGAACGAATAGTAATAAATTTAGCTGTATATTTAATATATTTCAATTTTTAGACAAATTGTTTTCAAATTCAAATTCAAAAATCATTTATTCATGTGATATATATAGTCAATTTTTACATTATAATTTTATTTTTTTTCCCTACCGTCACTATAGATTTTTATGAATTTACAATGTATATTTATATAGGTGTCTCTAACATTAAGTTGATGCAGAACAACTATCTATTCGCATTGAAACTGCTCAGTTACATATTCAACTGGGTCTATTTCCAATTCCTAATTATACATAATGAAAAGAAATTTTTATGACAAATATTTGAATATATAAATTGAGAAGCTAAAATATCTCTCTTAATGACTTTCATACAGTAAAACGACGTTTTTGTAATATGAATATATTTTTAATATCAAAATATTCCATAAGAGAGTAAACTATGAAAATAACTAAAATAGACTAATCTAGTATCAAAAAACCTTACGCACGGCAAAAGCTGCTGAACTTATTCTAAAACCTAAACTTATTATTGAAACGTTTGTATATAGATAATTTTTAATATTGATCTATTCGCATTGAAACTGCTCAACATATTCAACTGTAATTCGAAAAGAAAGACAAATAATTTTAATAATTTATAAATTTATTTTGATAATAATATTGAGGTAATTAATTCAATAATTTTAATAATTTATAAATTTATTGCAAATGAGACTTCACAAAAAAATTATCAACTACATTTTAATCATTATACATACAACCAAACCTTAGTAAAAACGAACAATTCTGTTGTAATCAGGGCTAAATAAACTGTTTTAATTACTAGTACAACTTAGTTTGCCCGTCCCTATTTTTCTGTAAATATCTATATATATGTTAATCATATTGGTATATGTTACTAAACTCACTTTGTTGTAATTGGTTCACATTACTCCTGCAGGGTGCTTACTTTCATTTATATAATAACGTTTACATACTCTTCAACGTGCGAAATGTAGCGATCAGTATACTTTTATAATAATTTCTCCAAGCACCTCACGTACTTAATCGTCTCAATATTTTAGCGTAAGCATCGATGTAGACATTGCGGCTGGGATATGGTCGGTTCACTTGAACGTGCGCCAAGTAGTGTTCTACTATATCCGCGTCAATCTTACTGCGATAGGAACGACTCGTATCTATACATATAATAAAAATGTCGAAGTGATCGCTATCTGTGCATGTAAAATCAACCAGAGTTAACTGATGTACCTGGTGAGTGAGAAGTATCAAGGGTTTTCTGGAAAAATACAAAGATACTTGAAAATACGGCTAGTACAGCAGCGATATATAATATAATAGATTGTTATAAAAAAGAATACGTCAAATAGGCAGGCTTGCCCACAGCCATATTCCCAGCGAAAGGTAGATATCAAGTATTGGTCTCAACACGACTTCGACAGGTGAGAATGCTTCTGACTCAAGACTTCAAGAAATAGTTATGGTAATAACAGAAAAGATAGAAAAGGTAGTTTTATATATTGCCTCTATGTTATGTTTAAAACCTTTTTTGTATATATTTAAAAAACATTATAAAACAATTGAAATATTTTCTTACATGTCAACAGACAACAGTCTTTGATTTTAATACATAATAATGTACAATATATAAAAAGAACCGACAAATACACATTTAGTGGTCTATATTTAGATTAATTATTCACACATAAATTTTAATAAATAATTTTAATAAAATAATTATTTGTATCTCAAATTATTATTTGAAGTAGAAGTCTGGCAATACTTTAGCGAATAAAGTGACCTTCACTATTACTATTTATCGGTTGACAAATGACTTTCACTATCCTTTGTTATTACAGTTTTATTTTTTTTCTGACTGTTTTTGTATACTTAATACAGCTTCCCATATTTCAATTATTTTGCACAAAAACTTAAATAATTACTCACAAACCATCTTCACCAATCAGTCTGTTAATAAAAAAAACTGTAGGAAAATTCTTTTCATAGTTTTTAAAACTATCGTGAACATACAGTTATACATGGCGGAGGATTTTATTTAATAATATATATAGATACTTAGTTACCAATATTCATGAATAACGTTTTAATGTATAAATATTCGAATGTCATACTGAACAGAATATCCATTAACAATATTAATATGAATTAATTAAGTCGCCATAAAATAATAAGTTCCTTAACTTTCATATCTGTATCTCGCTTCAATACAAAGTGTTGTAATGGCAAAGTGTAAAAAAATCTGAGTGCATTGCATCGGGGAACCACTCATTTTATGGGAATGACAAACTTTTCAATCGAAGCACTTCGCTAAGACGGGCGAGTTCCGTTGTCTGTGATTTTATTCTACTTGTTTTGATAATCAACTTATGCGGTTAATATAGAATTCTTTTTCACACAAAAAATACTTAGTATAGTATAAATAGGACCAATGAGACAGTAAACAATGTTGTTTAAAAAGGAATTATTATAATCTAAACCTAATTCTATACCCAAATAGTAAAGTAAAGTTGATCACTATAAAGTGAAAAATACGTCAATATGTGAAACTGTATTATATCGTACGTTATTCATGAGATATTTATTAATAAAGTAATGTTCCAACATGGAATATTCAATATAATGTTCTTAACTTCCATACATCTCTTGGCATGATCTACAGTTTTTACAGGGACCATAATTTCAGAAGAAATAATGTTACAATAGTATGCTGCTCTTTGTAACACCCATAAATGTTTTTTTAATTGAATGTAATTAATGTAATTACTTTAATTTTCAATATCAATTATCGTTATGTTTATGTATTTCATAAACATATTGTCATAATATGTTTAACTGGGAAAACCTTTAAAATATTAACTTAGTTCTGCGTTTATATTAGTTTCGAATTAGATTCTTACGGTTAAACTTGTAACTAAAATATAATATAGTACATAATATGAAAGGCGCAATCAATAATATTTGTAGTAAAATATTAGTCTTTTCTTACAAATACCATCAAGCGGTCCGACTTTCCTCTTCATTAACTTTCTTTCGGAGACAAGTGGAAATCCATGTGTATTGCTTTTGCTTTCCACCTCGCTTTAAAAGTACATTTTCACCTTTGTATTTAAGTAATATGGTTCAATTTCCCACGTACTTATATATTTCTCTAAAGCTGTCAGAAACGCTTGAACTCGGAATTGTTTGAATTGGACTAGTCTACACTTATAACAGTCTAGGTATATTTTTTTATGTCGGTTATATAACTATGAATAAATAAATTTGTTCTCGTATTATATTGCTGATTAAGGGCTTCATATGTATATCACAAAGATTATGACGACGATCATAATTGCAAAATGCATATGTAATCTGACCTTTACGTAATTGCAACGGGGCAAAAATGTCACGGATATAGTTTTTATAATAAGTTAAGTTTTATATTTACATTCTTATCAACTACCGTATATAATGTCGTCTTTACGTTTACAATATAAATAAATCGCAATTCAAAATTATCATCGGAAGTAATCGATAAGCATTGCATAGTCGTAAGCTTAAATAAATAACAATACATATCATCATTGTCAAATTGATGTTACCTTGTTACGACTGTTGTATTTAGATTAATACTATCGATAATAATACAAGTCATATTAATGTTATCAGATACTTCGTAGTTATTGCGAAGCTACTATACCCTAGACACATGCAAATTTTTACAGTGGCACATGTAAATTGTCCTGTTATCGCGTATTTTCCTGGACGCCTACCGCTTGCTATCAGTACGGTATGCGGTGTGTTATAGTTTTCGTGGCCATTTTCCTTTCTTAATTCAGGTTGATCAGACGTGTATATTTTTGAGTTCCCTTGTGTTTATCCATACCGTTTATTATATTATTTAATTTATTCGATATGTGTTTACTCGTGTGAATATTTGATGCTAAAATGTTTGCAATTCCAAGAAGACGATCTTTATCGAGTATAGTCGAAAAACATCTTAAAATATCGAGAAGTTCCCATGATTCTACGAGTCCACTTGGCTCCCCTACCTCGGACGAGGTAATTATATATTTTTTTATTATTTTTGAAATAAAATACGCAGTGACTATAGCTTTCATAACGTTTTTACGTACCCTTGAAATTAAGCCAATCTTATCAGATACTGATTATGGATTTGTCTATGGTGCGAATATCTACTCGTATTTCAATATTAACATATAGATAGTTACTAGTATTGGTTGTAGTAGAAATGATATCAGAAATATATAGTAAAATGTTCACTTCCTTTACATTTTTTTTTCGAAAATAAAAAAGTTGCTTGTAAATCCTACACCAAACTAAAATTAATTTTGAGTCACTTTAATTTAAAAGTTTGTAATAATCATTGTGTTGCCTTCATCCCCTTATGTATAATATAGTTTTATGTTACACTTTTCAACTATATTATTCGTATTAGATATAAGCCATATATGTAGAAATAACCATCAGTCAGCAAATAATTTTCCATGTTTAATAATTAATTAATGTTAAATAAAAACGTGTGAAAAATATGCTGCTCGAATACATATAAATATCTTACTCACATTTTGTTACTCACCAAGAATGATTTAATTTTTGCGTTGGTAGATTGAACTATACGCATGAGTGCTTCGGTGTCAGGGTATCTTAATACTGTCCCCTATCATATAAGAAGTTTGAATATATTTTATTAACGTCTCAATGAACTTGTTACCTTTTAAGTAGACTTTGTAATTCAAATTACACTATATTGCTAACGAGATGTTATTTGAGTATATACGAGTACTTTCAGCCTTACTATTGGCCATGTTGGTTTTATCCGTACTATGTTAACCTCATTTCTTCACATTTCCTTTATTAGGTATTTTATCTATTCGGCATTCGTTAGTATTTCTATTCTTTATGTAATTAGCTGAAGGACTTTAATGTTTTAAATGTTCTTTTATACATATACTCTGTTTCAATTGTCAATCATTTATCTACTTATTGATAATGTTACTGTTGGGAAATCTTATATTTTTGAATAGATGCCTTTACATTATTTATTTCCAAATAAAAGTTTTGACTTAACATAGGTATATTACGTTTAAATAGTTCCGAGTAAAATTATAAGAAAAATGTTTTGATGTAAAGATATATATATATAATATGCCCAGAGCAATCTGAACTTATTAGTTAAAAAATACGATTGTTCTACATATTACGTCGATCCGAAACGAACGCGATAAGTTTAAGCAGATAATGATATATATGTTCTTCGCGAAGATCAAACCCGCAACTATCAAAGGGTGACGCAGTGTGTTTAACCACTTAAACCATTATGATCTATAGTAATTTCACAAAAAAATGATGCAGCGAGTTTTCGCGTATATATTTCTTAGCTATACAACAATGCTCATATTATTTAGAAAATTCAATAAAAATTACGTTTTAGTATCAATTAAATTAATTAGGAAAGCGATAAAGTCTGCAAATACATAGTATTCGTGCCAAACTGGTTTTGTTTGCTAAAAAGACTGCGCTTATCATATCCTAAATACATACTTACACTGCCTGTATCGTCTTCTACAACTTATATAGCTACATATTGGGTATTTATATACTGTTGGGTTGGCAATTTTTGTTGCTTAGTGAGATTTGAGCAATAATAGATACTCACTACCTACATAGAATCAATTACCTACCCACTCCTCACTTGGTCTAAAAATTTTTTTGCAAGATATTGCAAAGAACTCCATTTGACCGGTCTTATAGAAAAACATTGTACTTCTCTACAAAATTTTTTCTTCACATATTATAATAACACAAGGTGTAACGGAAGATAGTAATTTATATATGTAAAATAACATTGTACCATCTCACATTATAATAGAAACCTTGGCTCATTGAAAGTTGATAGTAAGAACTTATTTATTACCGTTTAATAGTTCATTGAAGTTTTACTCTATGTTAAAACATTAATGAGTGGGACGTGCATCAGGAGAGCAGAACTTATTGCCTCTGATCTTATCTAACATTATGATTGTGACTTGTGCGACTATATTTTTAATATCAAGTATATATTTCCTTATCATAACTTAAAAATATTATTAACAAATAAACAGACGGCCTTGGTTTTATTTTGTCCTTTTTAATTTTTAATAAAGAAAAAGTATCACCATTGAAGTTAAACTGTATTATCAAATATTTATTTATATAAGATTATTTTATGAACCACTATCTCTAGCTTATGTCATTGTATATTAAACATAAAAGTATACTGAAAAGCCCCACGACTCCTTAATGAATGCATTTCCTGAATATATCTTGCTGTTATAGTTTACCATATACATATATAATATTACAATTTACTTTTTAGTTCAGCTTCTTCTATACTGTGGTTAAGGTCGCAGTGTTAGTCAATGCCATAAAAATTACTTTGCACAGCTGCTAATATTAAAATGACCTATGTACACATAAGGTGCGATCAATACCGAAATATTCGAGTTCATTATACGACACGCTCTATGTATGACAAGGTCACTTCACCTTTAGGTTTAGTACGATAATGAAAGGGCGTTAGGTGTTCTAAACCTTTGTTTAGTGTTGACATAACGAGTGATGACGTCATTAAGACCGTAAGCTTTTGGGAATACATGTATTTTGTTACCAATTACATTCTGAATTACTTGGAGTGTCGGTTTGGGCTGTTTTTGGCCTTGGCCTTTGTAATTAGCTAGACTCTGTTCGTAACTTCACGGTGACATATTGTTGGACCAGCAATTGAAAATATACATACGCACCATCCCAACTTTGTGTGTATCAAATACAGTATTGATAAATTTTTCGTTTCTGAAGTTGGTTTAAAACGTAGAACATGTGACGAATAACATTTGCTCATGTGTTGTATTCCGTTGCCATGGCAGTTGCATACGAGCAGGTGTCGTTAACAGCTGCTCTTTATTACCTTACGAGTATTAGAAAGACATTGATAGTTTTGACACAAATGTCCTTTTATTTAAGCATGTAAATTTTTTTATTTACAATTTTAATGCATAATTCATATTACCGACTTTAAAACAAGCCAATAATAAACAAGTGTTGTACAGCATATAATACATATGTTATTATGATAGCTTTTGTAATATAAGTTGATGTATATACATACATATAGATATCACTATTAAAAACAAATAACGTGAATAACATTTTATGGAACTAAAATTGAAGTATATGTATATTATTTTTACATAATTACTATTTTATTACCTTCAGGATAAAATTAATAATACCATCTGATAAGTTCAAGCACATAAGTCATAATGTTCCTTAGTTGATAATAATGACTTTAAGTTGTAGTTGTTGTAATAATAATTTCGTTTTTTAAATAGGTAAGTAAAAAAATATTTTTTAGACAAACACGTTTGTGAATCCACACAAAAAACGGACACGTCAAAATAATCATCATTTCATGCATTATCATCTAAGCTATTGCGTATATGTATACTTACGTATCTTTTCTGGGATAGAATAGTACTAGACTTGTAATAGTCTACATCTAGTAGTACAGACTACTAGATCCAGACTTTCTATAAGTGACAGTTTTCTTAAAAACAATCTGAGCTTATTATACAGGAAATTATAGATAATTTTAACTATAAATGGAATGTTTGAATATTCATTTCCACAATCGAATGGTATTAAACACTTCAAATTATAGATGATTAAAGAAATCTTTTGTGCATTGTAATCGGTTGATAGTTGAATATCTGTGTTAGCTACATATCAAGGTTTCTCTATTGTCTTCTCGTACCTTCGATTCCCATGCGAAGAGGTTTCTATTAATGGGAATTGATTACTAAGATTTCACGCGATACGAATTTACATATCTGCGTGAAAAAGAAGTGTTAATTATTTCACTGCTAAACTTATACGACTGTATTATTATTAAATGCCGAATTAAGTGCTTTGTATGTATATATAAGTAATAATTTTAATCGAAACCAAATGTAACTATGTTATTACGAGTGAAATATATTTAAATATAATTATAAATATATTTATAATAATAAATATTCTTAAAGTTGGAGAAAAAACCAATTTCATTTTAGATTTTTAAAATGCTAGAATGTACCACGTTACCAAAGAGTGGAAAGTACATTTTCTTCTTATGCAAAGCTCGAACATGACTTTCATATAAGCCAACTTTTATTCGAATATATTGAAACGTATTAAAGATAAGGATACGTTGAATATGTTTATTGCATGTCTTCTTAGGGATATAACAGAGAAATGTGTCTAGAAAATCTTAGATGCTGGCGAGGAAAATCGTAGTTTCTGCGAAAAGGATTTGAATTCATTGTAAACCGGACGTTCGGTCTCATAAATTCTATGTTCTCCATAATTTTAAGGAGAACAATTGACATGTTCACATTTTGACGAAAATATTTTAGTCCAATTTTAACAGTGAGCTAGCCTAACGTATATGACAATAGTAATAGTCAATAATAAAGTTCATAGCCGTGAGTCATGGGTCGTGAGGTAATTATTGATTTTATTCTATTTTTTATTAGGTAATATTTTATTATTTATTTTTTTAACATTTTTTATATTTTACAGTATATAGTATTTACACGCCTAGAATACCAAATTGGAACATTCGAATTAGATGAATTCCATACCGTTATATTCAATGTTTACTCAACATTGAATATAACGGTATAAACATCCAATTATACAGATTTATACATTCATGATATTAGTAGTACTTGTATGTAATTGTAATATTTGCTCATAATAAATTAAACAATTTTTATTATCCGTGGCGACGTATTTTAAGCAATATGTTGAATTTTCTTTAGCACAGTGATATCTAATCTACAATAATCACAACATTCAAAGCACTTTGGTTGGGGTCGTTGTGTTTCGTGTTTATAAGAGATCAACTGCCTTGTTTATTGCTCACTAGACCACAACCGAGACACATTTAGTATGATTTACCTGGTTTCGGAATCATGTCATCGTCCCTATTAAACTTTGTTTTATATGACCTTTTTAACGTT